CTGAGCAGAAGTGCACGTCCACGGAACTAATAATAGGGATAAGACTGTGACAAAATATATCGATAAAAATTCTATACCTAAATAAATAGAATGGACTCTACCCGTAACGTCCATTCTATTTATGTATCATATTAATATAATGCTATTATCATTCATCATCATTAAAGCCCTTCACAAGTCCACTGCTGAACATAGGCCTCCCCCAAGAAATGCCACAGAGCACGTCCTGAGCCACCTGCATCCATCAACTTCCTGTATGTCTTACCAGGTTTTCACTCCATTTAGTAGGGGAACTTCCGACTCTTCACCTGCCGGTACGAGGCTGCCACTCGAGAACCTTTTCCCCATCGGTTATCGGTTCTTCGAGCTATATGGCCGGTAAATTGCCACTTCAGCTTACTAATCCGTTGGGCTATGTCGGTCACTCTGGTTCTAATGCCGATATACTCATTCTAAGTTTATCATCCTAAGCTTTCCGGCTTCGGCAGTGCCACGTATTCTAGGGGGCTTAACATATTGCAATCCATGGGTTTGGTCGAACACTTAATTGCCTTTGTCGGTGGATGTTGCGCAAGAGGAAGGTGCCAAAAACCGTGAATGTAAACGATGGCCAGAATTTGTAAATAAGAAATAAACTAAAGTAGGGCCACTACGAAGTTAAAGCACAAATTAAATCTTGAGACTCATGAGAGAATTAAATCTCTAGACTCGCACTTACTAAGACCCCGTGGTGTTCTACCTCCACCGCAAATTGACAGGGCCACGGAAACGCTTTCATGCACACCCACGGCGCCTACGGTTCCAGCTGCCCAATGGCAGCCTCTTTTTAGCTGCTGACTTCTCCCCCCCCCCACCCCGTTTTCTTCTCAGGCGCACCAGAGACACAAGGCACACTGCCCTTCGCGACCTCTGACTCCACCTACACTACGGACTCCCCGAGCCCGATATGTGAATGGAGCCAAGAAAAAACGAGCACATGAAAGCATCAAGTGGTGCAGCCTAACCAAAGTCGCGAAGGATAGTCGAGTGGCATCGCATCACCAATCGCCATACCAACACTCCTCTTCCCTGACGACTCCAACTCGACTACAGCGGTACAGGGAGAGGAATCTCTTCTAGCCGTAGCCCACTAACACACATCCAACGTGGCACGACGTCATCAGGCGACCTTTCGACACTTGGCTATGGCCCTTGAGTTTGTGGGAAAATGAGGAAAGAAGAAATAAAAAAACATTCGAAATAATAATCTAATACTTTTATACCTGGTACTGGTACTACCAGAAAATATTGTCGAAATACTGCACTTTTTCAAAGTGGTGCAGTTCTCATGTCTAATAAAACAGTCGTCTGTGAAATGTTCAGAACAAATATGATAATTTTGTTTCGGACGCCAATTCACAATATTTATGCTTTAAGCCATAATTTTAGTCTAGGTTCAGTTGGAAACCTGTTAACTAATAAACATTTGATAATCATCTGTTGTTGGCGACTTTGTTAACAGATATGGGTAGGGAAGAACATCGATAAGTGTTATAGACAAGTAACTCGACAACCCTATTGAATTTTATCGTTTATCAAAACTAATTAATATACAGCCAAACATGTTGGTTTATACGATATTAAGATTAGTAACAAACTTTTAAGTATTTATATTATCAAATAGTTTTAATTTGTTTAATATTAGCTGCAAATTCACTTGTGAAATGTTCTACCACTTCCCTTTTGGTAACGACTTTTACAGATTACGCACACTCTCATTATCATTAAAAATAATTCTTATTATGTAACTAATATTATACACAATCAAACAACATAAAATTCTTTAGTTTTTTAGTTTAAAAGTTCAATATACAGATTTTTTAAATAAAACAATTTAAATAAGACAACAGACTTTGACATATTATGTCAATTTTAGTTTTCAAGACGAACGTTAGGGGTGCTTCAAATTGGCACAGACATTTTGTATGCTATAGCCAGTCCAGCGTACTTGTGCAATGCATTGGTTCTGCTTCTTCCAGCTCAACGATAAATTATTGCGAATAATCAATTTTAATTCAAATATTTGTCAATTTCTATTATTGCTTGTGCAGTTAGTGACTCAATTGATTGCCGAGCCTCCCCAGCATCCTAGTCGGATCGAGAGAACTGTTGGTGCTAACTTCAATATTTTAAGACTCTTTATGCTTTCTATGATTAAAAATTTATTAGCATCAGGTGAGCCGTATGCTCGTTTGCCCCCTCTCCTATAAGAAAGTTTATATACAAATATTCTTTTGACCGTCTTAAAATGTAATGAATCCCAAGTCCCAACAAAGGAAATATGTAAACAGGCGGCCAAGTCCGGCACAAACGATGTATGTACTTAGTTGTCGACACAGATCTGAACAGGCACTAAGCTTCATAGAAGTTGAATCGTAGGATCTATAGAAATATGCAACCAGGGTTGCCAGATGCAATTTTATGGTTTCCCTCATATAGATTTTTATTTTTCCCGAAAATGAAACTTTTTTAACCAAAAAAACTACCAGTTTGTTACCAATAAAAATAAATATAAAATAAAAACAGACTGCTTTTATTTTATTTCTTAATGATGGAAGAAAACTTGAATGAAGTACTTCGTTTTGCATTTTTTTTTAAATTAATCTTCATTAAAAATAATAAGTACTTTTTTGCATCTCCTGTTTGATAGACATTTTCAGACTTAAATAAAGTTAACATTGTATTGCTTGGCTCAAACTTTGTGTAACCACTGCGGTCTTGTAAGGCACTTCTCACTCTCGTTATATGGTCTGCGGTTTTCGTGCATATTCGGTTTCGCAATTTATTTTTGACGATGTTCATCATCTAAAACGCCCGTTCTACAGCAGCGTTAGCAAATGACGAACTAAAAATAGTCGTGGCAAGTTTCGTTAAATTAAAAAAGCTGCGTCTCCGCAAGCATTTTTGTATAAATACACTTCATCCCAAAACTCGTCAGCTCTTTTGGTTTTTCTGACATGGCTGAAGAGATAGAATTCTCCACTCTTGCAGCGTCGCATCAACGTTTTCCACTCCTCCAACCACATCCTTGAAAGCAACAACTATTTCTTCAATATTAGGTCTTACTTGGCTTGTCGCCAATTTTTTCTTATAACGAAAAGTACGTTCGTTTCATTGCTCTTTTTATTTTTTATCATTTTTAAAAATTCTAACCCCCCCAAATTCCCCATAATGTATTTTTCTCCCAAAAGTTTCCCTAGAGATTCTATTTCCCTAGTTATTCCCCAAGAGTCATTTTTTCCTAGAATTGCGAAAAATACCCCAATCTGATAACGGTGTGTGCAACCTTCTTGGAAATACTAGCTATAAATAATCGGACACTGAATGTCGTTTGTACTTAACTAAACCTGGTCACTCATATCTTTGATCGTGTATCATATATTTTTCTCTTTAGTCAAAAATGTTATCTATTTAATCTTAATAAATACCTTCAGTGTTTCTTTTTGGGTTTACACTTCTCTGGTTTCTATTTTTAACTTAAAACATAAGAATTAAACGCCAACAAAGTTATTAGTGCTATTAATAACTGTCAACAGCTGTAGACGAAGTATAACAACATTTTGCACGTTTCAGATTTTTGCTTTGTTGCCTAATCTTTAAACTCAATAAAACTTTTTTTCAAAAGAAAAAAACCTTAAAGACTAAAAATAACAAAATAATTTCCACATTATTTATCACTTATTATATATAATGATTTCCTAAATTTACGCAAACACTAGATACACATTGAATAAAACTATTTATACGGATTTTATCGCGTTTAATTTACTTATTTTTACTTAGTATCTCTAAGTCTTGCAGTATATATATATATATATATATATATATATATATATATATATATACATGGGTATATATATATATATTTATTATGTGTCTGATGGTGGGGACGATCTTGAACATGTTCACAGACCGCAGACTTCTCGGAGCGTCGGACTGACAATGGGTGATGTAAAGCACCCGAATCGTCAGGAATTAAAAATAAATAAATTAAACGCGATAAAATCCGTATACATAGTTTTATTCAACACATATTATATACCTTGTAATATAGGTATAATGGACGAACTTAAAGCTTTATGACATTCTCTACCACCTCTGTAAAAAACTTTAGAAAGGTGAATAGAAGAATTAAAACCCCGCCTTCAGAAGTTATAATGTGGAAATTATTTTATTCTTTTCAGATATTTGACGAATGCTTTTCGTTTTTTATTAAAGTAATACCACAAGCTCAATATAAGAACCAGAATGTAGGTCTTAAATATTTACATTAGAAACTTCAACCCGTATTTTTCCACCCTTGGGAATGGGATATTTTTCCATATTTATATGTTACCATCCCCTGAAGTATAACCTTTTAATTAAAAAATAATCATCAAAATAGATTTACAATTGACAATAATATCGCGTTTAATACATGAAACAAAGAAAACAAAAATAACATACAGTCGAATTGAGAACCTCCTCCGTTTTTGAGTCTTTTGTAAATAGCACATTTTTTGTTTATTCAATAAACCTAGAGTGCCACTTTATGTATTATTGTTACAAGTGTTTTTAACAGTTTTTGGTTTGGAGAATTCGAAAATGCTGCCGATGCGTCGTTTTTTTGTTTTTATTTTGAACTTAACTGACACACTGCCATGTGTATATGTTATAATTTTTCTAGATTTTGGTTTTCTGTTATCTTTGCTAAATTGCTGAAAACAAGCAACAGGTGTCTTGTATCATTAGTGCTCTTTATTTTCGCATCACTGAACGGATGTTGACAAAGGGAACACCCAAAATACCTTGATTTAGTGGCCTCTCCGAAGCGATCTTCTGGGCGGAATTGAGGAAGTTGAAGTGGAGGGTGAAGTGATGGTTTCTTTTATACCGTAGTATGATGTATTCATTACTTATTCTTCTTAATTCGATAGCATATAGGTGTATTTAAGCATCTTCATGCATATATTTTTCAACAGGCGAATTAGACGGCAACCGGCCCGTCCCGTTCCGGCTCACGCCCAACATCTCTGAACTGCTCACCAATATAGGCATCACTGGACCATTGACTGCCTCCGCAATCGCCGTCGCTCGGTGCCTCGTCACACCTAACTTTAAGGTAACATTAGTAGTAAACAAACATCATTAAGAAACGGTTCTTTAACATCTCAAGTTTTATCCTTTTAGGATCTAAACGAAAACAAAAATAAGAATAAATTTTGAAACATTTTCAGTTAAAATACATTGTTGCAGGTAAGTTTGAAATAACAAATAAAAATTCTGTAATCAGAAAGTTAATTAATTATTTATAAATTGTCAAGTATTTTAAGTGCAATGCTGGGACTGCCTATCTAAATTTTGCTAAGCATGTATTTTGTAAAAGGGTCGCCTATACTCAACATGTCGCACAATGAAGGTGGGTTAGTAAATTAAAGGGCTCCATGACGGACAAAATTTTTGGTTGTTATAACTATCTGAGCAATTTTTATTTTATATTTAATAAAAAATAATGTACTACTTTTGTTATATCAAAATTCAACTTCGAACCGTTATTTGAACGATAATACGAGAATATAAGTAACCCGCTCGCGGTCAAGTTCACGCATATTCCTCGACGTATCGACATATCAGATTAATTCAATAATGTACGTGCGATTATAAGGAAATATTTTTGTTATTCGAGACTACTTTTCTTTATATTATAAATCATTGGTGATCTCTTTTTATTTATTTTCATATATCTTTTGATTTTTATATGTTAAATCTATTTGCTTAACTATAAAACTTATGGTTTTAAAAACTTGCTCGGTGATTGCTCGAATTAATAATAGTTATAATATATAATATAAATACATTATGTCGTTATTTGCAATAAACCATTATGAATGGATTTGTATAACTCCGAATATTCCTATTTATTTGTTCTTTTTATTAGTAATATTTAACGAGCAAACGCGTCTCCTACGCATCACATTTTAATATCTCACTTTAAACATCCTTGGCCTTCAACAAGGATAAAGCTCAACTAAAACTGCAGCGTAACCGGTTCCTTTCACACTGTACAGGTTCAAAATCGTCGCTAAGTTAAATATAATTTCCAGATCCAATCCATTTTGCGGACGATACTTCGCGACGAAATGGTGACCGGTTATAGGAAACGTTTGGAGGATAAATCCGGGTTGCCCACAGCTGGCACCTCGTCCGACAATAAACCGATGGATATGGACAACGAGACGATAATCAACATGGTTAATAAGGCCGTCACTGTAATTATGAACCGGCTCAACTCGCTCGCTTTGTTCGACGGCCCAGATAGCAAAGTGGCCACTCTGGTCACAGCGGCCCACAGCCACGACAACCTGTGCCGAATGGACCCGGCTTGGCATCCCTGGCTTTAAGTATATACTTGGATTATATAGTTATATTTGGACAGGTTAACATTAAACAATGTTAGTACAATTCAATACTAAACTTGTCTCTTAATATCGTTAACAATCTTGTTACAATAACCCTGTTATTAAGCGTATTCCGTTCTAAGACAGCTTAGTAATAATATGATTCATTATTTAATTTTTGTGTTATGTTGAACAATTTCAACTTATACTCGCTTAATTCTGTGTAATTTTAATTTTAAAAATTTTTAAAAATCTGTGTAATTTTGTGTCTGAATGTTGTGAAAATGTGATGATGTTGAATAGTTTATTAATTTCTTTTTATTCTACCTCCCGGTATGAGTTCTGTTCTTCTTGAAGTGAGTTTATAGTAAGTGTATCTTAAAAAATTGATATATTTCAAGAATGTTCTTTTAATACACGTAAGCGTTTTATATTGTAAAGTAGGGATGTTACGGATATGATATTTCGGATATGGATACGGATACGGATATGGGAATAATATTATATCGGTTTCGGTTTCGGTTACGGATATAAAATTATTTCGGATTATCCGTTAGTTTCGGATCGGATAAGATTTTTTGAGGTATTTAAGTAAAATACAAATAAGTAGGTAATCATTTGGCTTTATATCTTGGTTATCATTTGGTATTACAATCAGTCATTTATTCAAGTAATTAACAATTTTATAAGAATAGTATACTAATTAATGTAGCTACCTACATATTTTTAAGTTATCTACTTAAAAATGCTATTACAAAATTATTATAATCAAAAACAATGCTATTAGTTTTTTTTTCTATTATATTCTTCAATATATTTCTAGGAACTATTACAACGCATAAATCAGTCTTCTTAAGTCTTTGCATATTGAAGAATAAAAACTAAAATCTGAACATAACATAACAAAATATTTACTTGTCTTTCACTTAATGATTTCTTTTAATAGTCGAAACTAAGCAAAGGTAAATTATACTTAACAAAAAGCAATTTCGCAGCCTTATCACCAGAAAGTCGATTTCTTAAGGGGTCATAAATTAACCCAGCTGCACTGAAAAGCTGCTCACTTGGTACACTTCCAGGAGGTGGAGAAAGGTACTGTCTTACTAAATCACTTAAGCAATGGTACTTGGTATGCATTTTCCACCATAAAAGTGGATCTTCATTGAGTGTCAATCGTTTCTCCCTGTTGTATTAATTTAGTAATGTCTTTTTAACAATAAATTGATTGTGCACATCATCACCACAATCTATGTTTTGCTCTTCCTCGTCACTTAAGCTTAATATTTCAGCTAGACAAGATTGAATGTGTGAATAGTTGCTTGAGCTTGTTGTCGGAATCTCATTCCGTGATCTCTTAGGTGAAGAAGGACCTTCATCACGAGAAGCTTTTGAACACCCAAGAATCCCCAGAATCTCAGACTGTACCTGTTCCTTCGTAATTTCAGTAAAAAACTTGAGTTTAAACCGTGGATCTAGATAAGTAGCTATTGTATATATTTTATTATTTTCAATATCCTGAAATCTGACATTGATGTCTTGGATCATTTTCGTAATCATTAATTTGAAGTTCTCAGAAGTCTCTTCTTTACTCTTCTCTGTTTCTAGTGTGTTTTTAAGAGTATATATTAATGGAATCACTGATGCTATTGTTGCAGTAGCACTACTTAACTCCTTTGTAATTTCTTCGAACGGCTTTAGTATTGCAACACACTTTTTCAAGTCGAGCCATTCATCAGCATTAAGAATTGGTATATCATGCGCGCCCGAATACAGTACTAAGGAGTCTTTTAATGTCAATATTCTTTTCATCATATAATACGTCGCGTTCCATCTGTGAAAAAAGAAAAAACAATGTCAAATCAAATAAAAAAAAATTACATAATAGATAGGTGTATAAAATAGAATAAAAAAATCTCACCGTGTGGAACATTCCTGAATTATACTTAGTCCTGATTGGTTCAGTCTTTCTGTTTGAATTTGTTTCAATTCATTTTGCGCGATTAGGGAGTGATTGAAGTGAGTTGCAATTTTCTTGCACTTCGTAATTACTGACGAGAGAAATTCTTCGATTTCCATCGTTGATCGCACACATAATTGTAGTTGATGAATAGTACAGTTTGCATCAGTGAAATTGGCCATATTCATAGCTTTTATCATATTAGATCCTCTGTCGCGTAAAATACAATGAACTGATTCCGTGCTTAAGCCCCAATCTTTCAAAATATTGTTTAAATTATTTGCTATAATTTCACCTGTGTGCCGACCCTCTAATTGTTCACACTTGAGTATTATAGAAACTCTTTCATATTTATTGGTGATGCCATGAGCAGTAAGACTAAGTAACGATACATTTGAGCTGGGCTCTGACCACACATCTGTAGTAAATGACAACTTTTCAAATTGCTTAAGTAATCCCAGCACCTTTAATTTAATTTTATTGTATATATCAGTACACAGCAAATTAGTAAAATACTGCCGACCTCTTAGATGATAGCGTGGTAATGCTGCCTGCATTAATCTTTGGAAGCCGACACCTTCCACAAAGTTAAATGACAAGTTTTGTAATGCAATCATTTCAGCTACTAATTTATCAATTTCTTTTTGCTTGACATTACTTTCATCCCAGGCGCCTTTATTTTTTAAAGAATCTGTTATTGACAGCTGTTTTTTACACTCTTGTAATGGTGTCAGCTGTTTCGTGGTATGTGGTATTTGTTGGATATCTTTTTCTAGTAACAAAAGTTCTTCGTACTTATCACCGTGTTTTGATTTAAGATGAAGTTTAAGCGAAGTAGTGCCACCTCCTTTTCGTGAAAAGGTTTTATCACACTGTTTACATTTTGCGGAATCTGCATTAACTTGATTAAAAAATCTCCAAATTAAACTAGACTTAGGTCGCATTTGGTCCAGATTAGGTAAACAATTTAATAACACAACACTTTTCTTTCACTTCGTCGAACTAAACTAATTACTCGTACCTAAATATAAAACTGACTGACGGGACTTATGTATGACTGCAACATAAATAATAAACAAACAATGCAAGAGTAAGAGACACGCGCCGCTAATGTAAAAAAGAAACCTGTTATAACAAGTCTCATTTAGACTCAGCCCCTACCCTTATCCGAAATTATCCGAAACTTTTATATCGGATTCGGTTACGGTTACGAATAGTTTTTTATTTCGGATATCCGATAGTTTCGGTTACGGTTACGGAGCTCCATAACATCCCTGTTGTAAAGTGTACAATTTTGGTTTACTTAAAAGGATGTAAAGTTTGTTAAATTTTAAACATGCTAACATTGTGATCTCGTGTATTAGCAGAGTATTAAAATAAGATGACTTATCTCGTGTTTAATTTTGTGATATGTTTTACCCTAATAACAGCAGGGCAACTCATAAAATAATGTTTTTGAATTAAATTATTAAAAGCAGCAGAAGTAGATGATTAATTATCATTAGAAGCAAAGACTCGTTGCAGTGATCTAAAAAATATAAAGCACAATTTATTGTTTTTTTTTTAACCACGTAACGACATTTTGTTTGTTTTTATTTATTTTTAATTAAGACAAATCTAAAGACAGCTCGCACTTCTTAAACCAATGGTCCTGCATAAATATTTCTCTCCTATAAACCAATATGATGTAGGGGTATTTCTGTAGCTGGCGAGGGTTTCCCCGGACTGGTATCGCTATTTTCCGTCTCTATCTGGGTATTTTAAGTCGGATATTCCACCATCTGTCGATTTTTTTTTTACTTTTCCTTATATATTCCATAATATAATAAATACCCTTTGGTGTTTTTGTAAATTGTTTGAAACTTGTAAATTGATCTTGGTCTTAGGCCTGCTGGTAAAAATAAATCTACATAAAGAAGAACTATGAATCATTATTCAAAGTAGTACAAAAATTATTTAACAAATAACCCAACATTCAAAGCAGGTACATATAATTTAAAAAAAAGACAAAATATAGATAAATGTAAATATCTACACTTGAGAGCAAAAAATCGCACAGCCCTTGTATTTTGGTTTAATTTTCATTTTTTTCTTAAATCTAAAGATATTGAGTACATATCATTAGGAAAAAATACAAAAACAAAAAATTAAAATCAATAACCTTTACGTAACTTACAAAAACCAACCGTACACCAAACCCCTCCCCCCTCCCGCATGTATAAAAAGGTCGTGACTGCCTCGTTGGTCTAGTGGTTGTGGTAGTGCGAGTCCTGATCATAAAGTCCTCGGTTCGAATCCCGGGTTGGGCTAAAAAATTAATTATTGAGTTTTTCCGTCAAAAAATTCTCAGTAGCTGCCCGGAGTCAGGAAGTTGGCGGTGTCTCAACCCCGTATCTCGGAAAGCACATAAAGCCGTTGGCCCTGCGCCTGAACTCTCTCCGGTCGTGTCAGTTTACCGTTTCATCGGATTAAGAGAGTGAGGGAATAGTGATTGCACCTGTGCTTGCGCATACACTTGGGCACCATAATCCTGTCCTGCGCCGATGGCTAGTCTCCGTTGAGGCAGGCCGCCGTGACCGAAATTCGGTCTGAATTATTTATTATTATTATTAAAAAGGCCGTTTTTTGTACTTTTAATCAATTGCATACCTTAGATCAACGTGATGACATCTCTACTGGAACCATACGGATTTACTGAAAAAATGTAAATACCACGCCCGCAGAAGACGCTCAAGTTATTACCTTGCTTGAAGCAAATCATAATCAAAGTAAAGTTACTTAACAGCTACTTTGTTCGTCATGTTTACCAGAGGTGCCAAGAGACCGGTGGCTACATGAAGCGACCAGGATCTGGCCGGCTACGCAGAACATTAGAGCGTGATGACAGCTTTCTTGTGTCAAGGTTTATGAGAAATCGGTGGACAGTTAGAAGAAGACTGGACGAAGCAGGACAGACTTCACATCGCCCAGCAAATGGTCCCAAATTGACCACAGCTCAATTACAACCTCGTCTACAATTTGCCAGAGAACACTTAAATTGGACGTT